TGTTAGTAAGTATGAGACCCGTGAAGATCCGGGTCAGAATTGATGTTCAGCAACCCATGCTTGTCGTAAAAGGCGACTAACGGGATCTGGTGGTCAGGCTCGCTGACTTGGTTGACATCGTATTCCAGTGGCGTAGTGGCGCAAAAAGTCAAAGCCAAACAATAACGAGGCTCGAGCACCTGAAGTAATGCAGATGTTGAAAATAACCGTCGACTGACGTGTTGAACTTTGATCAGACATTGACCAGACGTTGTAATTAAGCACCTCACAGCCTCTTATTTCACGCTGATAGTCAGACATTTCATCACGTTCCATAGGTTCAGCTAAAACCTCATAATATATCTTGTGTCTTCACTAACTCACTGTAAGGTGTCATGTACCAATGGATGTGAATTCATTGAGAGGGAAGTGTAACCCACGATTTTAGGGGGTAAATGAATGAACACTCGAATAGCATAATTAAATCAAAATGTGGCTTGTTTTGATATATTGTTTATTTCATCAACTTTATAAAACAACCAGCCAGGATTGTGTTATCTCATTTGACAAAGCACATTAAACTTTCATCTACTTTGCAAAACACATTAGAGAAAGATGAACTGTGTAACTATTTTAATAAAGGTGCCATAGGGTAGCTTAGTGGTCAAAGCCTTCACTCGTCACGCCTAATACCCGGGTTCGATTCTTCACATAGATACAATATGTGAAGTCTAGTTCTGGTGTTCCCCGCAATGATATTACTAGAGTAATGCTATAAGTAAACGATTACCTGCTCCCTCATTCACTCCCTTACCCACTACCTCACTCACTCACGATACCTTTGTAGTGATGTGGCTATACGCCACTGTGGTTACCTGCTTGCAAGATCGACTCGCTGACTTGGCATCTTGGATTTTCCGTATCCCGATGTCGTAGATAGATCTTCATAACGTTGATCACTGGATTGTCAGGTCCAGATTCGATTTTTGTACAGGCCAGGCATACAATAGAAATATAGCAAGAAGAATGTAGCATTAAACAACAAACACACAGGATGAAGCATTACGATCTATTCACCGCCGTTGATAATATAAACATTCATTGTAACAAGTTGTCTCGTTCCTTTCATTGTCTGCTTTGTTGGGATTCGTTGGTATTCCGTTGTATCTTGTCGCTGGATGCATTATGCAATAAACCGACTCATAACTTCCCAGTCATGTGATGTTTTTATGTGTCTACGTGTCTACCACTAACACAGACTTGATTATGCCGTAATATGGAAGCGTATTATTCAGTCTATAATATTACAATCTACGTACATGATACTTAGATCTACTTTCATCTCTGCAGATCATACCTCCATTTACGGAGATGTTACTTTCATCTCTGCAGATCATACCTCCATTTACAGAAATGTTACTTTCATCTCTGCAGACCATACCTATATACGGAAATGTTACTTTCATCTCTGCAGATCATACCTCCATTTACAGAAATGTTACTTTTACCTATACATATCATACCTATATACGGAAATGTTACTTTCATCTCTGCAGATCATACCTTCATCTACAGAGATGTTTCTTCCATCTCTACAGATCATACCTTCATCTACAGAGATGTTTCCTCCATCTCTGCAGATCATACCTTCATCTACAGAGATGTTTCCTCCATCTCTGCAGATCATACCTTCATCTACAGAGATGTTTCCTCCATCTCTGCAGATCATACCTTCATCTACAGAGATGTTTCCTCCATCTCTGCAGATCATACCTTCATCTACAGAGATGTTTCCTCCATCTCTGCCGATCATACCTTCATCTACAGAGATGTTTCTTCCATCTCTGCAGATCATACCTCCATTTACGGAGATGTTACTTTCATCTCTGCCGATCATACCTTCATCTACAGAGATGTTTCCTCCATCTCTGCAGATCATACCTTTATGCACGGAGATGATATCTTAACCCATGGAGATGATATGTTTCACCGATTTACACACGGCTATATCATTCATGGAGATGCAAGGAGATCAAAGTATAATCTTCGTGGACGGTATCGCTAATAGGTATTCATATCGTACTTACATGTATACAACAGTTACATTACTTCAACATAAACAAAACCAACCCATTACAAGACGAACAAAGACAGAAGGCTCTGCTCCCTACACAGCAATGTGTTATATAATGTCATGTGAGCATATTTGAACCTTTTGTAAACTATTCCCTCAAAATCACAATCAAAATCAAATCCGAAGCACAGCACATGTGTTTCCTGGTATATGACAGAGACTTCCGTGTCACGAGATATCAGTGGATGTGATATTTATAGATGAAAGTGGTGGCATTTACAAATGAATGATGTGTACGAGGAAACGTACAAGTCAATTTAATGCATTTATGTTGTTACAAGAAGTTAGCATAATAAAATTATCAAGACTGTGGTTAATAAGTGTATATGTCTAATATCTTCATATCTCTCACATATTGAGATATTGATACAGAAATGCAGGCACAATGGTAACATCATATTGAACATGCTTACGTATTAGTACTGTGAATATAATGAATTACAGATTGTAATATCAGGTTTGCTTTTTACTTTCTTTATATGACAGAGGAGACGTCCAAGACAAAATAAGATGTGTGTGTTGTTACAAGAGATTAGCCTAATAAAGGTATCAAAACTGCGGTTAGCAAGTGTACATGAAGGAAGGCATTCTTGTCTAATATCTTCATCTCTCTCACATATTAAGAGAACATGGAATTCATCCTCCACCAAATGTAAACCATTACTACGACAATAAGTACCAATCCTGTCAGCATAACTCATGTTTTTGTGCCTACCGAGCTCAACCGCTAAACGGAAATTATTACACCTAAATTGAGAAATGAATGCTTGTAATAATATTGAAAATCGACTCTTAAGTATCTTTCTACATTCAGCAATGACTTAAATTTACTATATACATTACACTTTGATGAATTAGATATTACGGGATGCCAGTCTTGACATAAACTTTGTTTGAAAGTGAGCATAAATACATTTACATTACCTATATCTTGGGATAACCATATAATACCAAAACCAAACTGATACAAAATGTGTTTAACAGATGTAGCCCAAGTATTTCTACCAGCTTTATCCAATAACATAAGCATTTGATAACACTGATACGGCAACCTGTGAGTATTTAACTGGAGCAATCTACACCAATATTTGACACATCTAGACATGTCCTGATATTGCAGTGGAATTCAATTCCACATTCACCCACGCCATAACATTGCTAGTATATTAACTAACTTTCAAAAACCTTTTACAGAAGTATATTTGCAACACTTCTTCGAAGTTGCATGTCCATATGAATATAAATAAACACATTCCAGTGTGCGGAACGTGATTATTACGTTTAGATTTGATTATTCCATAAATAACAAAAATACGGTTTTCATGTTGAAATATTTACTGTGAGACGCACATAAAATTGTAATTTACACACCATCTGTAGCCGAGATAGATAGAACGTTATTTATCAGACACGCGCGTACGCTGGTGCAAGGACTGCAAGTTCCATGCGCTTGAATGAAGAGTTATAACAAACTCGGTGCTTTAAAACACACACACACACACACGCACGCACGCACGCACGCACGCACGCACGCACACGCACACTAACATACACACGCACACGCACATACACTAACACACACGCACACACTACCACAGATACGCACGCACACACTAACACACACACGCACACACACTAACACACAGAGGCACACGCGCACACACGCACGCACACGCACGCGCGCACACACACAACGAGTTATAACAAACTCGGTGCTTTAAAACACACACACACACGCACTCACGCACACGCACACTAACACACACACGCACACACTAACACATACACACACGCGCACACACGCACACACATACGCACGCACACACTAACACACGCACACAGAGGCACACGCGCACACACGCACGCACACGCGAACACGAACGCACGCACGCGCGCGCACACACACACACACACACACACACACAACGAATGTTACTATAACCACAAGTCCCAAACATCTCTAGAAACCTTCAGCCTTGATGTACAGCTTCTCATGTAAGCGACGAGGACACCTTTAATGATGATCACGTATATGTATTGTGAATGTCTGTTCACGTTCAGTCAATGTTCAGTGTGACTCCAAAGGGGTTAAAGTTAGGACCAGCCTAACAAGAGCTATTCCGCCCTGTTAAGTGTTTGTGATAGTTTCCACTTCCCCTCAAGATTCGTAAATAGAGCCATTGTGCACATGTTAATCACCTCGCTATTTCCTCATGCTCAAACGACAGAACCCGAAAGGCAAACTCATGCTGACCATACATTAAATGGACAGTGACACTGGTGTACGTGTTGGTGGAGCCTATCAGTGGTTTCACTGTACATGTATCTCAAACGAGTGACGTCATAGTGACATGAGTGAATGAGTATGGATTTACAACTCTTTCAGGAATATTCCGGCGAGGGACGCCATTGTTGAAGCACATTGTACCCATGTGGGGAATAGAACCCTGGCTTTCGGCGTGACGTGCGAACGCTTTACCCACTAGGCTACCCCCACCGCCCCTCATAGTGACCTGAAACCAGTATGCTACATAAAGGAAAATTATTTGATTAGGCATACATCACAATGTAACATTACATAGAGTTGGGTTAACATCTTGAAAATTACCATCTTGCAGTCATACAGAATGTTTGGTTAACATTTCATTCATACAGAGGTGGGTTAACACGCGCAGACATACCAAGAGGTGGGTTAACATCTCGCAGACATACCGAGAGGTAGGTTAACATCTCGCAGGGTGGGTTACCGTCATGTCTACACACAGAGAAGTAGGTAAACACTTCAGGGATGATGATACTCAGTGATCGGGTATTGTCTAACCAAAAAGCACAAAGTTATTACCTAGTGAAGAAATGACAGACAAAAAACCGACACAAAGTATTCAATGCAAAAAACATAAAAACGCACAGTCGTTTAACAAGTTTTAAACTAATATTCTTGAAAGCGATTAGCATATTTATGTTTTGGAGTTGAATACTTTAGCTTGCCTCGTTAATATACATGTCATGTGTACTTGAAGTGCCTGACTCACACACCAGGAAGAAGACCATGTTTCGTGATGATGATGCCAGTCTCGTCAGGGTCTAGCGGCTGCGTGGGAGTGAAGGTATGTAGACAGCATGTTGATGTTGGTGTTTCGGGCAGATATTCATTGATTCTACGTGCCTTCGTGTGTCTTCAACAGATATTCTAACAATGATTGTACATTATGTTCCTTCGTTGTTCTAACACTGATTGTACGTTATGTTCCTTCGTTGTTCTAACTATGATTGTACATTATGTTCCTTCGTGTGTCTTCAACAGATGTCCTAAAACTGATTGTACGTTATGTTCCTTCGTGTGTCTTCAACAGATGTTCTAACACTGATTCCACGTTATGTTCCTTCGTTGTTCTAACACTGATTGTACGTTATGTTCCTTCGTGTGTCTTCTACAGATGTTTTAACACTGATTCTACGTTATGTTCCTTCGTTGTTCTAACAATGATTCTACGTTATGTTCCTTCGTGTGTCTTCAACAGATATTCTAACACTGATTGTACGTTATGTTCCTTCGTGTGTCTTCAACAGATGTTCTAACACTGATTGTACGTTATGTTCCTTCGTGTGTCTTCAACAGATGTTCTAACACTGATTGTACGTTATGTTCCTTCGTGTGTCTTCAACAAATGTTCTAACACTGATTGTACGTTATGTTCCTTCGTGTGTCTTCAACAGATGTTCTAACACTGATTGTACGTTATTTTCCTTCGTGTGTCTTCAACAGATGTTCTAACAATGATTGTACGTTATGTTCCTTCGTGTGTCTTCAACAGATGTTCTAACACTGATTGTACGTTATGTTCCTTCGTGTGTCTTCAACAGATGTTCTAACAATGATTGTACGTTATGTTCCTTCGTGTGTCTTCAACAGATGTTCTAACACTGATTGTATGTTATGTTCCTTCGTGTGTCTTCACGTGTGTGAGACGAGTGGTTTCGTGGTTGATAGCCGATACCACTTGAGGTAGCCGCGCTACCCATTCCGTCGATCGTCTCCCCAGGTTGGCCATCTCTCTCGCATACTGATGCCCGAATAAGCGCTCGACCAAAGTCCGATTGAATCTCTGGACTATGGCTTGACTGCGATGAGCCCTGGCCATGCCACGCCTAACTTGGACGCCATGCTTGTCTAGCAGTTGTGACACGGCACCCATGAACTCCCGTCCGGAGTCGACTTGCAGCTCTGTGAGCCATGTCAGCGGACTACGCTTGTATCCTCGGACTACCTGGGCCGAGTCGCGGTTAAGGGTTCGGCTTCTTTGTAGCGGTTGGCCACGTCCACGATGGTTAGGGCATACTTGTACCTCTTGTCGTGGGGTAGGAACAGGAGGTCGGCCTGGTGAACGCTATTGGGTATGTTAATACCAAATATCCTTCTAGGCACGTAGCGTGGTTCCGGTAAATAGATCTGCCACAGGGCTTGTTTTTCAAGCCACGCTTTGGCCTCGTTTGGGGGTACTCGCGCCATTTTAGCCAGCTTATGTACACGCTAGCTCCTTTCCAGTACCCACGTGGGCTGTAGTAAATAGCCTCAAACATTGTCTGGTTCCGTGACATCGTATACATACGTCTATGTGTTTGGTTAAATTTTCTCATGGCCGTATGCGTACGTGTTGATTCCATCGGCGGCTATCCACGCTTCATGTCCATCGGCGACATGGACGTCATATATCCTGTGTCCTTCGCTTCTCAGCGTGTTCATCTGATGCTTGAAGGTGCGGGCCCTGAACAGGGCCTTCTTGAACCTGGCATGTTTGATGTGTTGTTTCACCACGAACTTCTTGACCCCGTTTCCGGATCTCGCCGTTGTCGGCCTTCAAGATGGAGTACATCTTGGGCCTCAAGTGCGTGCGTAGCGTTTGGAGGCCATGGAAATCCCACCTCGCAATCCTTTCTCGATGAACAGGTGAATGTTGTAATCGGTGAGGAGTTCCAGCTTAACTCCGGTTTTCCCAAGAGAGACCGGGGCTGGTGTAGTACCATTCGGGGTCGAGTTGATACTGCTTGAAACACGTCTTTCTGAACGTCTCGAACACGTCAGCCAGCAGGAGTACGTCCGTTCTCAAGTACAGGTCGTGGTAATCACCCGGGTTCCTGCAGCCCAGTCTCTCCCACACATTCTGGGCGTGGTCGTAATCGTCCTGGGTGATGGCCGAGTCGGTCAAGTTGCTGTCTCGGCGAACTTGGCCCAGCCATCCATGTACTTGTAGGGGTAAACACACTTCCTCATCAGCAGGGGCCGAGTCTCGGCATCGGTGTAATGATCGGTGATGGGGAAGGTATCGTTGTCCTTGACCAAACCGTCGAGAGACGACAGCAGGAACTGAACTGAGTCTATGAACATCAGGCCGTTCAGGAAGAAGGAGATGTATCTCTCCATGTTGTTGGGGATGCACGTCAGGTTGCCGTCAACCCTCGCGATGGCCTTGTGCTCCTGCGTTTTGTGTGTGTTGGCGGCCGGCCCGATGTCAACGGGTTTGATGAGGGCCTCGAAGTCTGCGTAGATGATGTAAGGTACAGACATCTGGTTCTTGTGATTGTCGAATTTTAGGGTGTTGTCGCCTTCCTTGGGCATGTCGATTCGTATGGCCGTCTGCCCACGCCTAGGCAATCCTCCAGGTGTGATTCCAGCAGGTCGGCCCGGGTGAAGCCGTGCAGGCACCGTTCGCAGAAGTGTCTCTTCACTCTGTGTGCCGGTTGGTCGTACAACAGCCTCCTGAAGTGTTTTATCCACGCGTAGTGATACTTGTCACCTCGCTGGATCATGAACATATTGATCACGCGAAGACCCTCCATTGTGCTGATCCTGTGCAAGATCGTTTTGTTGCCTTCGTGCCCAAAGTCGTTGATGGCAATGGGGTTCTGCTTCTTGATTCTGGTGACCTGGGATATGGGCTTGGGTTCGTCTATACCGTCCCAGTTCAGCCCGTCGTCTTGGGGATAGCTCGAAGGTCTGTTCGAGTTAACATCGGTCGGAAACAAGGCGGACCTGATAGCTACCCTCATGCAATCGTCCCCTCTGTTCTTGACGTTGACCATGGCTTGTTTCTTCTTGAAGTAGGGGGGTAAGTCTATTTACGATCTGCCTCTGAACGGTACGTAGTAAGCTATGTCTAGATAGACCTTATCGATTTTGTCCACGGCCCACCCGGACCCCCTGTGCGTGTAGTGTTCCAGGTACTCTCGTATCTGCTGAAGTGAAGTGTCGATGGACTCGTCTACCGTCTCGGGTTGAGTCGCGACTTCTTGTTTACCCCGGAAGTAAGGCTGAACGTACTCAATGGCACAGTCCGTCTGCTGTTTATCAAGCAACATCTTTGCCGTGATTTGAAACTTGAGACTTCCCAGGTCGTTCAGTTCCTCATTGACTTTGTCAGCGATCAGAGGCTTGATGTCGCTGATGTCTATGTTCTTGTCTATACTCATCCGCCAGCCTCTCAGGTAGTTACCTACAGCACGTTCAGTGCACACCAACTGTAGATCGACGACTCTGTGCTGATGCAACAGTTCGACGAGATCGGGTTTCCTCATACGGGAATAACCTACCAGGCAAAGCTCTCTCGCTTGGAGTTTGAGTTGTTTCACCGTGGGAGGTCGTTGTACGGGGGCGTGCAACAGTGAGGCTAGCCCCGCTTTCCCCAGGCGGGAATAACCCACCAGCCCCAGCTGCTTCGCTTGGAGTTTGAGTTGTTTCACCGTGGGAGGGGGTTGTATGTTGAGTAAGCTAAACAGCTGGGGTTTCCTCAATCGAGAGTAACCCACTACACCTCGTTCTCTCGCAATCTGCCTGAGCTCTCGGACAGTAGGCATTGTTATACTCAGGTGTATACAATCTCTAATTGAGCCACCGGAAAAGGAGGTAACTCCTCCAACCTTAATAAAAAAATAAAGGAGGCGCCTTAGTGGAACTTTGCCGTGAGCAGGTGGAGGGCTGGTGCCAGTAAGTGCACTTCAGCGTCGTAATCGGCTATGCTTAGGTAGACCGTTCTGCACTCAACCCGCTCGGGGAAGCTGTCCAGGTAGTCTTGTATACCTCGTAATGAGCTGTTGAGATACTTGTCTAGCTCAGGTTGAGTCGCGATCTTTCGCCCACCTGTGATGGGGAAAGTATACCTGACGCCCCCTTCCCCCCATGCCATTTCCAGTGTGAACCGAAATTTGAAGCGCCCCATCTGTTCAAGTATACCGGTGATCAGAGCATTGATGGCGGCGATGGGTATGCTCTTGGTTTTGTTCATCCGCCAGCTTCTCAGGTAACCTTTCAGGGTTATGGTACGCATGAACGCAGGCATCATTATACCTAGGTGTGCACAGTCTTTAACTGGGGCTCCGGCCTTACACTTCCATCCTGAGGAGGCGCCTACGTTCGTTTATGTAGTCCTTTTTCCTCTTGTAGATAAGCTGGTGCCGGACGACGTTTGTCCCGTGGGCTTTACATAGGCAGTAGTAGCATTTAACTCCCATGCCCGCACACGGAGTACGTGTAGGTCATGAAACACCTCCTGTGGAAACAACAGTACCCTTCGGTCTTGCATCTCCTACCGCAGGTCTCGGTCTTCCCCATAAGCATGTACTGGCATCGATACGTGGCAGTTCTCTTCGTATACTCATAAGGGGACCTAGTTTAATTGTTTTGCGATCAATATAGTCGCTGCTAGGCCTATCACGACGAAGACCAGTTCTCGGTCCTTTTGCCCTGGGAGGGTGCGTAGTACTGGGAGAGTGTGGGCTCATCGAGGGGATTTGGGCTGTTTGCCGGTCAGCAGGTAGTATTCTTTCACGGCGTCGTCGACGTCCTTGAACATTCGAATGGCATGGTTCTCATGCTCGAGTCGTTCGTTAATGTAATCGAGTCTCTGCATACGTTTCTTCACGTACTCGGCTTGCGCGGCTTGCAGCTGCTCCACGGCTATGTCATGCCGTTTCCGTTCCGCTTCTACCTCGGCCGCGTTCTACCTTGGCCCCGTAGCTTCGAGAACAGGTAACTGCTCCCGGAAAATGCCAGGGCATTGACTAAAGCTCCCCCGATCATCATAGCGATCGTAGCCAACCTATATGTACCTAT